ACATCATCTCGTACGTGTTGCCTACTTTTGTGTATAACTTGACTTGTTTTCTTAAACTTTGTATGTAACCAGCACTGCTTAAAAAGTACATTTTCTTCAATATTTAACATTTTTTGCTGAATGAATCCTCGTTGGATTAAGAAGTTAGAAAACTGTGACGGAGAACAGCATGAAAAGTGGGATGACTTTGAGTGAATATGCATAGTGGTTTTCTTACACAAGCTCAAGAGAGGGAACAATGTAGTACCGTTGTATTCCTTTTTTCATGGACAAGAGTCAGTATTGATTTAAACATGATCCTGCTTGGTACAAAAACTCTCTTTAACATTCTTTTTGTGGGGATTTTGTAGGAGGGCAGACCAACCGCAGCACATCCTCTCCACTGAACAAGTAAACCCTGTTCCAGCTCCTCTGGGACTGGACTTGGTAGTGAAGAAGGAACAACCTCAAAAACATGGAACAAGGAGAAAGCATTCTATTGTTCTGGAAGAACGAACCAAGGTACTGAAGGCTGCAGCACATGAGCAGCGAGATGTTGTAGCTAAACAGGAGGTGGACTTGAGCAGCTGTTGTGTGAAGAAAGCTCCCACAAGGATTGCAAAGAAAACGTGTAAATGTTTGGAAGATGTTGATTGTGAACACATGAATTTCCAGGTGAGAAGATGTGAAGTTTAATATTATAGTTATAATCATCAATAAAAACAGTAATATTTTTATTCATAACAATAAAACAAAGCTAAAAAGAGGATTTTAAATATGGATTATTAGGATTCAATGTTCTTGTTGTGGTCAAAGTAACTGGTGCTTAAAGCTGGTAAATTACCGCCTTTTCCCAAACAGTGTTATAACAAGGTTATTTGTCACCCTAAGTTTTGAATCAGGACAAAATCCCATGGAACCTCTTTTGCAGAACTTTAGACATACAAGTGAATAAGGATATTTTAAGATTAAAACTGTACTTTGTTTCTTTTTACCTGCTAGAACCTTTATCGAACATAATAATATGTTTTTTTTTTTTGCTCTATAGGATTGCCTACCAGTAGCATGGGACACCAATGATGACCTCATTGAACAACAGGAGAAGTACGAACAGATGCTACGTACTCACTATGGTAACAAGCCTGGTACCCCTCCAGGAAGTAGTGGTGGAGAAAACAGAACCCCATTTATTCCGTCACCAAGTGCCGACCAGAACATCAGTTCTGACAAAGACAAGGATGATGACGAGGTGGAAAACTACGATGAACGAGCGCCATTCATCCCACTCACAATTGACTCGGAACTGGATTGTGATGATGAACTACTAGTTGAAATACCATTCATTGATTCACCCATGACGCCATCACCCTCATCCTGGCTTCTTAATGCAGATGAGAGTATACCTTCCCCAGGTAGTGCATCCACATTTTTGCCACCAATTTTATCGAGCAAAGCTATCAGACCAACAAGCCTTTCTGCATCATCTTCACCAGAGACTGCACGAAAAGGAGTTCCCACAGCTGTGAAGAAAAATAGTTATGTCACAAATGAAATTCCATCAAAAGGAAAAGCTTGTTTCCCCTACGTTTCGTCATGGGATGCTGAGGTGAATGCACCTGTTCAGCACTGTGGACTCCTGCAGGGTGATGAACTTATTAGAGCTCTTGAGTGTGGAAATTTCCTGTGAACTGCACACTTAAAACAGGAATGTTTCAGTGGGTGATTTCATTGACACCAGTAGTGGTGATTGGACTTTATAACAAAGTTGCAGTTGTCTTGAAGACATTGTAGATAGGTTCATTGTTTACTTGCACTTAGTCATAAAATGACTAGAAAAATTTAGTCATAAACTGACTATAATCTTGTCAGGGAGGACCTAAGAGGGGCCCTGTTGCATTGTATAATAATTTCCATACCTATATACCATACTTACCGTTTAGTTTTGAAGTCAGTCTGGAACGAGTTTTCTTCAGTTGTCAATGTTAACATAGTTTATGGTGTTAAATTGTATGCAGTAAAAACTCATGTACCAGAACCTATATTTTCCGAGGTTATCCTCATAAGGCTTTTTTTTGTATTTTGTTTCTTGTCTATTGAGAATCAAGGCTCCTTTTGCCAAACTTTAGAAAAGGTGCTTGCTGCTGGTCCAAACATGTTCCAGGTGTCCTTCTAAGTTAAGAGAAACTTAATATTATGTCTAAAAGTAAATCCTACTAAATATAAGGCTACATCACCATTTACGTTTTTCAAGTTTTCCAAATAGAACCTTTTTGGTGGAACTCGCTCTCATTTACATAGGGTTTTGCCTACAGTTTCTTAATCACAAGGTTCTCATAGGTGGGTTTTTACTGCATTGTTGATTTGCATGGAGATGCATTTCAATGTTTAACATTTACAGCTATATCCCAATGTCAAAGGTTTTAAATTCTTCTTTGTTATCTCCATTCTTTCAACGTACAGTACAAATACATGTATCAAGAGAATCCAGCTGTTGATTCATGATTCACAATACAACGAGGAGAAGATTGGTTTGATCCCTGTTGAGATTGAAATAGGGTCAGGCACTTGTTTGTTATTAATATTAAAATCCAGCAAAAGCAGTCAAGTACAACAGACAAAGAGGGGACCTAGCAAAGGTTCATGACAAAGAACATTAACTTTCCATGTTTTTAAGGTTGATTGGAAGTTTTTTCTTAGTATGACTTTAAATCAGTATTTCAAACAGTATTTCATTAAACAGTGGAACCTCCTATGGACAACCGCTCCAAAAATGTGACAATTTGCTAGTCACCTTGCAGAAATTTCGTACAAATTATATTAATTTTGTAGATTTGACTGGGAATAAAAATTGGGAGTGTTTTGGGTAATTGGTCGCTAAATAGAAGTGACTCTACCTTGTGATGCGTCATTGTGTAGTCATCAAAATTAATACTTTGTAGGTAGTAACAACAAAAGTTTTCCATCTGGTTTTATGGAAAATTATTTTTTGTCATTTCATGGGTATGGGTAAGGGAGTTAAATTTATTTGGTTGTTGTAGGATCATGCTGACATGAGAACATTTATTTTTTAGCTTTTAATAACTGTAAGAGAGTGTTAATGTGCACAAAATATGCTATTTTTACTCTGTGCTCTTTATTTTGAGAATAGGAAGTTCTACTGCCATAAAACAGGTTTTCTGT